TGAACACAACATATATTGTACGGCAGTTTGTACTACGACTATATCATTTATGTATTTTTGATGTAAATACACTTCCTCATTCCAGTATTGTTTAATACCTGACTTGTCATCCTAAATAAACACTGTTGCATTATTTTTAATTGGACCAAGTCACTACTCGTTTCAGACCTAATTGAACATTTTTTTTTTTTAAGTGACGCGCGTTGTTGCGTGTGCCGTCCTTACTGAATGTATTAATTCAATTAAGTTCACTTGAATTGTGTTGCTGATATCCCTTTTAGCAATTATTGACCTAATTTTAGCTCCAAGACGTTCGTTAAACCTCAAAATTGACACACGCACAAATATGCAAAAAATTGCCAAAAGTGGTCCAAAAAGTACCCATTTTAAATCCGCTATAACTCTTCAGAATGGCATGGTTATACCTAATTTTTATTTCATGTTCTGATAGGGTATGAATTAAAAATGTAATTTCATGTTTCACGTTTGCTGTTAGAATGTTTTGACGTTAACATAGTGCCACTTAAAGGAAAACAAATTGAATTTGATTCAATTAGGTATGTAATTGCCGTTAATTGTTGTTTAAAAAATATAGGCCTATCTCGGCTATCCCTACTGTGGTATGTGTGTCTTATATATGTTATCATCTTGTAGCTGAGACTTTACTCTACAAAATTACAATGATTAATTTTGCGATCAGAAGACGTGATTGTGGTCAAAATTCCGATTTAGGTAAAGACTGCCAAACTCTGCCATTATGGTTTCTACTAGTATTTGTTATGTGAATGGAGGATGGGATTTTTTTTTCGAAGTCTGAATTTCTCATTGACTCTGTGTGATCGGCCGCGTGGTGTAGGAAATATCCTAAATGAGCGTAGTGTTTCAGCATTCTCTCTTAAATTCTCTCGATCTGTCGTTCTCACGACCACATACAACTTTCTTCCTCTTCTCTCTGCTTTCGCCGACATATGGAAACGTTTGCTGAATTGGATTTGTCTCATATAAAGTTGACCACAACACACAGTGTTCAGTGCAGAGATATATTATACATATAAAAGACTAGAAAAAACGCCCCCGAATCTACGAGTCTGTGAAGACTGTAATATGAATCTTGTAGGTGATGAATTCCATATAATTATGAAATGTGACAAGTATAAAGACTTACCAGTAGATTTTATAGAAAAAATTAGTAATCTGGAAGAAAATTTTAGTAATTTGGATAGTCAAGAAAAATTCATATTTATAATGAGATTATACAATGAAGTTGTAATAGATAGTTTTTCTTTGTTCACCAAAAACATAATTGAAATGAGGGGTAATTTTTAGATACTATATGTTATAACAAAGTAGAAATGTACAATCTTATGCTTTTGGTTTAGTTCTGCAGTAGGTCGCAGTTATGTGTACTATTACGTCATTTTGTTTAGGCATTCCATTTACCTATTTTGTATTGCATGAGTTATAATTTATTTAGAAAAGTGCTGTATTATGTTTTATATATCTAAATCTTCGGGTGTTTTATGGTACATTATATTACTATATGCATCATGTCACGTTATTACTAAAAAGAAAAAAAGAGTGTTTCTGCTGGGTATAATTTTTGTTCTGAATTTTGCTATTAACAATGCATTGTAAATTGATTTATACGGTATATATTTTTACAGAATATTAATATGTTACATTACATTGTAAATTGACTTATATGATGTATATGTTCCCAAACGGAATTTTTATTGTTACATTACATTGTAAAGTAATTATATGTTTATAAACAGAATATTGATGTACATCAATGAAGTTTAATAAATACAATACAATACAAACAATACATCTTAAGGAATGTAAGAACAAAAATTAACATATTGTTCTATCTTTAGTTTTGTATTAACCAAGAACAGCGACGGGCTGCCTCAAAGAATAAAGGGGAAGAGAGAGCGACGGAAGAAAATGAAAAAAAAGTAAGAGAAATGGAGGTTTAAAAAAAGAAGGAAGAAGAGAGAGGGTGGAGGAGAAAGAATGGAGAGTTGACAGAAAGTAAAAAAAGGAAAAACATGAAACTTGAATTTAAACAAAGAGATTAAATTTCTGATGGGTAATTGGCTAGACATGTGCCTATAAACGAAGACTGCGTACGAAAGTAAAACAGTAGGACCCTACTAGAAAAAAGTTCTGAAAATTGTCTTTAAAAGAGAAAGAGATGTTATTTTTCAAATGAAATGATAGGGGCTACGCGTGATATTCGAGGAAGAAATTACCATTTCTATAGCTCGTGATGGCCATTTTGAATTTTCTTCCTTGTTAAATAATTCAAAAACTTCCCGAGGCTCAGCCCCCTATAGACAAGACTCCGGGCAAAGGCTCTGCCCCTGGACCTCAAAAGTATAGATATAGAAGTGGTTCCCAAGACAGCCTTTTGGTGGATAAAATTGTCCTTAGGAATAAGTGTGTTTCACGTAGTTCAAGCTTGTACCCCGCTTCTACCAACCTGGAAATTTAGTAAGCAATTAAGCTTTCGCCCAGCACCCCTGTAATAGGCTTAGGACTATTTGCACTATGTCTTGCTGAGCTAGCTACCTCGAAATCACTGGAGTGAAGGTAGGGGAAAAGTAAAAGCCAGGTTTCCTTTTTCAGTGAGGGATTGATCATTTTCATTTAGACGAATTCTTTCATCTATATCTCGACCATGAAGATCTGGCCCTTGTTAATGAAACGGCCATTGCAGCAATCGGGCGATGAAAGAACTTAATTTAATGTTAATTTTATTAAGGAAATTTACATAACTACCTTGATCTAAGGAGACACAAACGAGCGACCATAAGTGCCTATCAAATTAACACAATAACGCGGGCAGTGTGTCAAGTATTCAGGGCGGGTTCAGCTTCGTCTGAATGAGATAGAATGCTCAATCCGAGGGTGTGTTAATTGTGCTCTTTAAAAAAAAAAAAGTACATTATGCTTTTGGTGAATTTTTTCTTTTCGACGTTATTACAAAATCCACACGCGATTCTGTATCTCTCCCCTCTCTCACACACCATTATTACTCTTAACTTCTACCACGTACACCTCCCTTCTCTCTCTAATACTTTACTTGTTTTGCTCTTAACTATCTTCCTGTCTATGTCTCTCTCTCTTTCACTTATATTGCCCTTAACTTTAATTTCATGTCTAACCGCCCCCTCCCTCTATGTCATTTTTATTGATCGCAACTTCTATCGCTCTATACCCCCTCCCCCCCCCCCCCCCAACCCACAGCCCTGCCTGCTTCTCAATCTCCGACTTAATTTTTTTCCCAGACTCTCAAACATTTGTTCATTGTCCTCACAATATACTTTTGTTCTATCCATTTCTCGTCATCAAGATTCTCTTCCCCTACCATACAATTACAGAACTGGCTTAATAAGGGCTGATGTTAAGGGCCAGAAGGACATCAACTATAGTGAACTTCAAAAGGGTACTTTTCATTCCAGAATATGTATTAATGTGAAGGAAAAAAATAAGAAAATGCAGATACATGTACAATGTTCATCAAAGTTTATCAATTAAATTAATAATTATTCATTTATTTACATTCATCATAAAAAAAACAATTGAGATGTTACAATGAACAGTATACATTGATAGAGAGTATTAGAGACAATAGTGTGAAAGATAATCTTATATCAATAGCCGGGGAGGGGGGGGGGAGGAGGCTTTAGGGACATAGTCCTCCCTCCAAAAAATAATTATAATTCAAACCAAGGGATGAGGGGAGGGCAAAGAATGGTGATGCCCCCATATTCATTTTTTTTTTTTTTTTTTTTGGGGGGGGGGGAAGATTCTCAAATAATTTCTTGAAATAAGCCCCCTCCCTCACCCTCCCGCTCTCCCATGCCGCCGGCTGGATCCGCCCGGCCCTGCCCAGTGTTGTGGTTTAGTGGTACAGCTATTTTTTCATTTTCTTCTGTATTTTGGTTTGTAGCTATTATCAGTTTATATTCATAAGTGTTGGTATTATTTTTACTAATCAGGGCTTCATGAAAGACGAGTGCCATAATTGATGAAAATGTGCTACCGTGTATAACTATCAGAAATAAATGACTAAATAAATTAACAAGGGCTTAAGGTTTGAACGCCAGCCGGGTGATAACTTCCTTTGGCAGGACATTAATCCACATTTGCCACTCTCAACCCAGGTGGGTACCTAGCAATTGATGGGGTAATCAGAATTACAGGGCCATTGGGAACAGCATTTATGCTGATATAAAAGCTTCTCTGGGTAATAAAAATTATACTTATTATCATTATCATTATCAATAACTCGTATTCCAGCCATTAGTTAAGTTTTCTCACTGCTGTGTTTCTGGGCGAGATGTTGTTTGAGACTGCCCCTGGCTCTGCTCCTGTGTGGCTATTCATATGTTCTTTAAGGGTTCTCTTGTATGAGAAACTCTTGTTGCATATGGTGCATTGGTAAGGTCTTTCTCCTGAGTGAATTCTGGTATGTCGTTTAAGACTGCTTCTGGTAGTGAATCTCTTCTCACAAACATGACATTGGTTTGGGCTTTCGCCAGTGTGGCTATTCATATGCTTCTGTAACGTAATCTTACGCGGAAATGTCATGTCACAGTACAGACACTCAAATGGCTTCTCCCCAGTATGGATGATCATGTGTGCCTTTAGAGTTGACTTGCGCGTGAAAATTCTACTGCATACTGAACATTTAAAGGGCTTCTCGCCTGTATGGCTGCGAACGTGCCTTAGGAGATCATTGTTTGAGTAAAACCCCTTACCACAGTGTGGGCACCGATGGCGTGTCTGTCCTGTGTGGATAAACATATGACTTGCTAGGTTATACTCATGTGTGAATCTCTTCTTGCATTGAGGACATTGAAACGGCTTCTCTCCTGTATGAACCATCATATGAGCGGTTAATTTACACCTGAAGGGGAAGCTCTTGTTGCAATTTGGACACACGTGGGGCTTAAAGCTCGAGTGGTGTTTCATATGTCTGGTGAACTTGGCATGCTCCGAAAATCTCTTGTCCCACTGAGCACAACGAAAAGGTTTGTCCTCATTGTGGCTGACCAAATGATTTGAGAGATTCCCCTTACGGCGGAATGTCTTTCCACAGTTTGCACATTGATATGGCTTCCCTGCAGTAGTGGACTTTTCTCCTATGTGGGTATCCCTAGGTCCTGCAAGGTCCTCCTGTTCTGTCAACCCCTCACTAGAGTTGTACATGTCTACGTCAAAGTCTTCCTCGGAATCTCCATCCTCAATGCTTATGCCGTCTATAGTCAACTGATCTGTGCAAAAATGGGAAAGATATATGACAGAATTTCAATAAAGTAAATACACATTTATAATCTATAAAGAAATGGGAAAGAAAAACAAAGTATTCTCACATAATTAAGTATTCTTTTTCCACTAAGCTGTAAATTTTATTCGAAAAACTGTTGATGGTTTGTACAGATACCATGTATCACACACTACTGCAAATATTATACAAATATACACTGTCTTGAAAGGTTCTGGTTAAAACTATGCGCAAATGGTACTTTTGGAGTCCCATAGTTTTAACCAGTACCTCAAATAGAAGGCATGGTATGTTTGTTTTATATCCTGCATCAAACTCCCATCAACTCTATATCCTGTATTCAAAGTGTGTTCTGTAAAACTGCCGAATGAGATGGGCTCTTTTGTGCTCTTTTAACAGAGCCAAAGAGATCCCTTGGATTGTAAGGTGAGACGGTTGCATAAATGCTTACTTTGTAACGCTTAAATCAAGAGGTGTCATACATTGCACTGTTGGGTAACTTCACACATTGCTAAAGGATATGAACCTAGTATACATGCCATAAATCTCTGTGTATAAGACGCACTTTTTTGCCGCCGGAAAAAATTGAAAGTTGGGGGTGCGTCTAATACACAGGTACAAAAAAAAATGCCTGGCAATGTCTTCCAGCTTAGTAATCGGTGTGTTGACTCACCACTCGGAAACCAGAATAACACTCATATTTGTCTGTGATCTTGGTTGGAAAGTTTTCTTTCTAATAGATCTCAATATGTAGTATATAATAATATTTCCTCCAATTTTCTTCTATTACACACGGCGTACCACAAGGTTCTATCCTACAGGTGTAGGTCCTTTACTGTTTTTAATTTACATTAATGATCTTACACATTCTTCTAAAAACGACATTGTTACTATTACTTGTGACATGTTCACAAGCACAAATCGGCCCCTTTAACTGCACCTCGCAATGAAAGTCCTTCCCCCGTGGTTTTTTTAACACGGACCTGGCTTGCTGCCTACGGAGTCTGCACACACAAAAAAAAAAAAAAAATACACAGATGCATCTTATACAAGGAGATTTATGGTGTACACCCCTCTTGCCCCAAGGTATTATATCATACTGAAACTGTACATGAGAAAAGCTGTATCACACTTTCAGATTTACCGATAATCTTGCCTTTTGCTTTCAAGGTGCCATCTGCCAACATATTTCTGTAAGGTACCTTTATAGTTCAAGTTTTTCTCCCTTGTGTGATTTCTTATGTTCTGAAAGACCACTGCTATATCTGAATCTCTTATCACAAATAAGACAATGGTACGGCTCTGCTCCTGTGTGGCTATTCATATGTTCTGTAAGGGTTCTCTTGTAAGAGAAACTCTTGTTGCATATGGTGCATTGGTAGGGTCTTTCTCCCGAGTGAATTCTGGTATGTCGCGAGCGCAGGCTCCTGGTGGTGAATCGCTTGTGGCAGGTGGGACACTCGTAGGGCTTCTCCCCCGTATGGGTTTTCATATGTCCCGCAAGATGAGACTTTTGTCTGAATTCCATGTTACACTCTACACATTGATAAGGCTTATCTCCCGAGTGAGACCTGGCATGACGTGAAAGCTTACTCTTGCAAGGAAAATGCTTGTCACACTGTGCACATTGATAATGCAGTTCTCCTGCATGCTGTCTGCTGTACAATGCGACACTACTCTTGATAGACAAATTATTAGGACAGTCAGGATATTCATAATATTTCTCTGCAGTGTGGATTCCAACATGCTTCTTGAGACGCCTCTTGTCGGAGAACATGTCATCACAATCAGGACACTTATAGCACTGCTTTTCTCTACTGTGGGTTTTGGCATGCCGTGAGAGCTCACTCTTGCCGGGAAATCTCTTACTGCACTCAAGGCACTCAAACGGCTTCTCTCCAGTGTGGGTTTTCATATGTCCTGCTAGATGACTTATTTGTCTAAATCCCATAGTGCATTCCAAACATTGATATGGCTTTTCACCCGTGTGTGTTCTGTCATGGCGTGCAAGGGCACCCCCACAGGAAAATTTCTTGTCACAGCTTGGACAATCAAAAGGTTTTTCTCCTGTGTGGCATCTGGCATGCCGGCTAAGTTCATTCTTATACATAAAGCTCTTATTACAGTCTTGACACGTGTAAAGCTTTGCTCCATTGTGAATTTTCATATGCTTCTTGAGAGTACTCCTTTCGTAAAATGTTTTGCCACAATCTGAACACTTAAAGAGTGGTGTTTCACCTGTGTGGACCTTCATGTGTACGTTCAGACGATACTTTTGAGTAAATCTGGAGTCGCATGAAGAGCACTGATATGGTTTTACTCCTGTATGAGCTCTCATATGAATCTTTAACCCGTTCTTCCTCAAAAATCTCTGGTCACACATAAAACACACAAATCGTTTGTTTTTACTGTTCTCTTTGGCAGAAATGCTCCTTGTACCTTCAGATTGCCTATCAAACTTGTTAGGTCTGTCAGGATTATTTTCACCAAGTTTTCCATGGCAAGTAAATTGAGTTGATGCATTCCTGCAGCTGACCATGTCTTTATTGCTCTTCACTTGACAGCATACCTCCTGGTTGAGAGATTGACTGGAATCCTTTTCACTTGCTTCCAAATCGGATTTTTCATCTGTGAATAAATAGAAGATTTCCCACAAATGTAGCTTGTCAGGATTTGGAAGTACAGTACATGTAGTTCAAATATTCAAGTTTCAAGTTTGAGGCAATGTAATATCTGCACTGATTCTGATGTAATTCACTTTAGCAAAATTAATGATAAAATCTATGATGAAGAATATCAAGGTATAAGTGCTATGAATTTCAAGAGAATAAAGTGAATAGTACTGCAGCTGAATTTTGTCCCACACTTAGTTGTGGTATTGATTGATGGGAAAAATAAAACTTTCAAGATTGAAGCACTGACCCCAAACAATTATTTCTCAACTCTGTGAGAAATGTTTTTACAACGCAAACACTACGAGCATCCTGCTGAGACGTGTTTTGGTGGTTAAAAAGAAGCCATCATTATTTTGTGTTATCCTACACATTGAGGCATTATTTGGGCTTCGATCTCCTCTACTGCTTTAATAGCCATCTTAAAGGTGAGAGTAGTGTTTATTCCAGTTAATGAAATAAACCATCTAGATCAAAACTGCCATGAGCCTATAGCAAACTAAAATGACAATGAATCCCTCGCGCTTGTTTGTGTCTCTGATAATACACAACTGCATGCACATGTACTGTAACAGGGGCCTTCATTGAGGACAGCTCCTTTTCTTTTCACCGAGCTAGTCATTACTGCCTAGGTCACATGGGGTCTAAAATATCTAAGACCAATAGCAATTATAGGGCGACCGCAGAATTCCCACGGTCACATATGGTAGCAGTCACATGTTAGGGTAGCCGCATCGCGAATTTTGAATTTGTGGATTCAGAAAACCTGCGGCTACCGTACGGCTTTTGAAGTGATGACCCAGGGGCGTCCCTGCTGCGGCCGAAGGTTTTTGACAAATACCAAGGCAGACACAAAGTAGTAGCAAGGCCACTGTATGCCCAACGCATGGTCGCCATGGAATTTCTCCTAGGCATATGGCTACAGTGTGTCTAATTGTCTAATTGCTACGGTGAACCTAGAAATGAAAAAAGTTATAACTCCGCGCTATAATCCCATGGCGACCCGTACAGCCTGTAAAGATAGGGATACGCCCTAGGGTGACCCTAAGGCCACCGCAGATCCTCTGCAGCCTCAGCAAGTACATGTATCTCTTGATTTTGAGGGCCTATGGCTGCCGTATCCTAGAGCAGATGTGACCTAGGCTAGGCATTACTTACACATGGAACAGGCTTGTTCATATATGATGTAGTAAATCACAGCATTTTTTTCTCTCCATTTTTTGTTATTATCTACATGTGTGTTTTATGGTGGCATTTAATTTGTTTCACATTTCTATATCTAACAACAAACAGCTAGTGAGCGAGTGTGCCTATATGTGCCCCCCCCCCCTCCCCCACACCCCGACCCCTGCCTTGCACAAGTGTAAACTGCAAAGTGGTCTCTTACCGCAGCAGTTTTCTGAGATGGATTAAAGGCTGTCTGTTCTAGTGTAGGCAGGAGGGATTAGACCACCCAGTGACCCATTGACAGGTGGCTATCTCATCAACTCATCAATCACAGGGGACCAAGTGGCACCGATTAGGCACTGTTTTCTATATAGAGGGAGCAAGTAGCTAAAAGTAGTACAGTGGGGCTTTAAAGTATCATGTTTGAATGAGCCTTAGCGGTTAAAAGGAATGTAAGAGACACTCATGATTACCTGCACTGTGTTTCTCTGCATCCTCCATCTCATCTTGGGGTTCATCTTCTTCTATCCAGCCATCCCCGGAATCTTCCTGCCCCTTCTCATTCTCCTCCCCCTCATCCTCTGATGAGCTTTTGGTTCTTTCCTCCTCTGAAGACAATGAGCCATCCCTTTCATCCTCCTTCTCCTCCTCCTTAATATTTTTTACCCTCTGCTTCTCATCTTCAAAGCTTTCATCAGGCTCCCTTTTCACACCTAGTAGTGAAACAAAGAAATGTTGGACAAGATAGAAAAGTAATTGTACAAAGAGGATGAATTTGTTGTTGTTGCAGTGACTTATGTAGCATGTCTTTCCTGTGATGCGACCCAACCATGAAATATCTTTCACCTATTCCATCGCAAGTTTTTTTCATTGAGTTCAGACTTTCCAACAACAAAAAAGGTTCAATACTGAAAACAGCAATATTAAATAGTTTTTAATATCAGATCTTTATTCCCATGTTGTATTCTTTATCCAGTAATAACTCAGTAATAACTCAACAAAAGGACTTTGGGAAACTATTCAGGCATATCATGGCATTTTACATTTCCGACGGGAGCCATTATTTTGGTTTCTGTTATAGCAATAATGTTATAGCAATGAGCAAGTGAATAGTCAAGCGGGAACTGCATCTAATCTCTCAGATCACATGTATACAGGAACTTTGTACCGGTAGTCAAAAGATAAATATCACCAAAGGCAATATTTAATGCCTTAAAGAAACTGTCCCTATTGTAGCCAACATCAATTTCTATAGAACTTTGCAGAAATTTAAACGTTAGCAGTGTCCTAATATTCAAATTATACAAGGAAACCTGTTTACTTGCTAGACTTCACTGTCAGACACTATTGAGTGACTGGCTGGCTTTTTTTCTTCTTTGGTAATGACACATAATGAGCTGTAAAGGGTACATGAGCATTCGTCTACATCAATAACCCACTTCTTGTAATGGCCAAAATTAAACTGATTGAATCTTTGCGCAGCATGAAACGTACATGTACAACCATTCCATACAATGGTCTGATAAATCAGACTATTACTTACTGACTCTATAGCTCTTAAGTCGATTTGACAACTGATAGTCATTATTTTCCCACTTAAAGACATTTTCAAGCCCCCTTTTTTTTAGGGAAGTTCTAAATTAGTATTATCTTTCAAATGCCGTTGGAATTTAACCTTTCATTTTTTGGCCTGCAAAAGGGACATAGTACCTTTAACGTGTACCAATCACCAACACACATTTTGCTCGTGATATAAGGGTCCATGTTGCTATATGGTATTGAAAATATGGTATGAGCTTCAAATATTATTTCTAATATTATGTTGCAGCTACATGTACATGTACCCCCTGTAAACAGTAAAATGACTTGTTGAGTAGACTAGGAAGCAGACACTCACTTAGAAAAGGCTGCACAGGGAACCAAGATCATATTAGTACACTTTGAATGCCCAATCCTGACGTTATGGGTTAGCTGCTCATCAAACAATAGGGACTTTCCAACACAATACACTACTAAGTACATGTAAGAATCTAATTCATTTTCATACCGGTACTTTAGATCAGGGCCCCGTCTTAGTACAACGAGTTGATATCAATCGCAACTATGTACAAAAGAGACAGGAGACTGCAAACTTGCGATTGATTGGAGGACTTGCGATTGATTTGGATCAATCGCAACTCTTTGTAAGACGGTGCCCTGGTATTTTGTTTTTTTATTTCTCAGGGTTACTATGTCAGTGTGGTATGTGTATTCACCTTCTGTAACAGGATTCTAACGAGCATTTGGGAACCAAGTTCCCTAACTTTCCATGACCCATTTTTGTCTGTTTCCATGACCAGATAAGTACTATTTTGATATGGGTTGCAGCATCCAAGCAGCATACAAATACCACACAGCCATATTTCATGGGAGGTTGCGTTGCAATAGCCACATATGGCCACACCCACAATCAAATTCCGTAATTTTCCAAGAATTTCCAGGTTCTTCCATGACCATGAGAACCAGGGAAAAAAATACATGGGGGCTCAGGGCAAAATAGCCCATGAATGCCAAAAAGAGCTCCCCAAAGTCATAAAAGAGCCCAACAAAAATTTGCATAGAGTTCAATGCAAAACAAATTGAAGAGTGTTATTTTCATGCAAGCAAGCTTGAAAAGTAGCCCCCGAAATGTTTTAAATTTTTTTTCCCTGGTGAGAACTCTGCTGTTCGTCCTAAATGACCCGAGTAGTAAATACCTACCTGCTGGATTCAATCTTGTTTCTGGATTTTGATTGTTGGCTAGGTTCAACCACTGGTCCGTGGATTGTTCTTCATCCAAGGGTTCTATTTTGATGAGTATGGTTCTACTTCCCCCTGATAAGATAAGGGTTACAAAATTAATAATAATAATAATAATAGTACTAAAAATAATAATAATGATAATAATAATAATAATAATAGAAATGACAATTATAATAATACTAGAAATTTAATTCGTCATGAGGACGAATTAGGTGGTCTGTCTTCAATTCTTATGATCATGCTCATCTTCAATTCAATTATCCAATATAATGATGTTAATGTAAAATTATGTATTAAGATATGAATGGATGAATGAAGTACTGATGAACTGATGAACTGATAGATTGAACTGACGTAAAATGAACTGAATTGATGAGCTAAACTGATGAACTGATGAACCAAACTAAGCTAATGAGCTGAACTGATGAATGAAATATTTAGAAATTATCATGATCATCATCATGCATAATGATCATGATCAAATTAAATGCAACAAAATATCAAAATAATTACGGTAGGCCTAATGATGTAAATATGAAACAAAGTATTGAGAAATGATCTACTTGATCCTGATCATGATTGTCATGATGACAATAATGGTGATGATGATGACGATAATAATAATGATTATCATGATAATGATCATGATCGTGATGATGATGATGTTGATGATGATGATGATGGTCATGATCATGAACGTGATCCTGACATCTTATTGAAAAAATGAGGGATGATTTAGACAGCATATAGTCTCAGCTATAACATACTCAAAAATTTAAGCAGAAATAACGTCAATATTGCTCGCAAAAGACAAGAATATAGAATCCAGATTTGAGAAAAAGTCACCTCCCATAGGAATTACACACAAAAAGTAATGGATCCAGTGAAAATAGGGTACTAATAAAGTAAATATGGTTGCTTATTACACGATTTGCGATTCTACGTGTTTTAATATTCAAAGGAGATGGTACAGTGAAAGGTCAAAAAGAAAAAAAAAAGTGAAGAAACAAATCGTTCGAGACGCCTGGACTCGAACCAGGGGTTTTGAGGTTGGAAGTCAAGTGCGTTACCGATGTACCAAAACATTTCCCATAGCGATTACACGTAAACGGAAAATGGAATTCTCAAATCCCGCTTTGCAAGTGAAATATGAGCATGATCCCGGCATCTGATCGAAATATAAAGGGCACACCTCTGATAGCTTATTGTCTCAGCTACAACATACTCAAAGCTCAGCATAAACGAAGATAAAACGATGGAGATATTGCTTGCGAAAGACGAGAATGTAGAACCCAGTTTTGATGTCCCATCAGTACACGCAAAAAGTGAAAAATTGACATGCCTCCTTTAATCGCAAATATATGCCATGATCCCTTTGTCAAAATGAAAAATCGTGGAGAGTGCATTTGTGGAGATTGTCTCAGCTAGAACATATCAAAATTTGGAAGAAAATTGATCAATATTAACAGAGATAGATCTACAAAAGTACAATCAATTTTCCAAAAATATGCTGACGTCATAATATGTGAACTCGCCGATTCAACATGGCGAGGAGAAAGTACACATGCACGGTAGTCCTTGCATGTGTACTTTCTCTTCGCCATGTTGAATCTACGAGACAACATGGATGAATCGTCGGGGCAGGACGAAGAATCACCCCCTTTTTCCCAATCGAAGATGCTTTCAAATTATAATTTCAAGCAGCCGGCAAGATGCCCAGGCCCAGAGGAGTCGAGCAACTTAGTACATGTTAGTCCAAATTGTAATTAGATCTAGGGGGTGCTAGTGTAGTTCCGTATCCATTTTTTTAGCAGTTTCATATCCATTCTTAGCAAAGGAAATTTAGCCCAATTTTTTACTAATTTTAATCATAATCATATATCACATATACACTTAAATTTGACCACATCCAAAATCGGAAGCCTCCGTTTAAGGCTTCGATGTCGATGTCGTCGCTCAGTACCGTCTCTACGCTAGTATAGCTTTGCAACTCAAACTGAAGCTATCAGTCCAAAATTATGCAAACTTCTCGTATGGGTTATGGTATCGTGCATGCGCGTAATTCCGTAAACCATACGAGAAGTTTGCATAGATTGCTCGACTTCGGTGATCGGACGAGAACCGGTATATTCAGCATGGTATGGTCGTAGGCAAAGGACATCATAATTTGGACTAATAGCTTCAGTTTGAGGTGCCTAGCTAGCGCGTAGCCATAGAGACGGTACTGTAGCGGCTCTTACATTCGCCCTACTTTTACCGCACACTCATATCTCTACATTGGTGACCCCTCGTTTACTTGGAAGCTTGGTTGTACGATTTTATTATTCCCAGATTTTTTGGACTTAACAATGTTTTATAAAATGTATTCATTCTGGATTATGTATCAAATGTTTTTTATGCTCTTGCATTTATACACGTTTATTCGATGCATACCATGTCAATACTCACTGTTCAATATTTGGCGACTAAACAGCCGTTCGCATACCATGCTTGTTGTATTACATTCTTTCAACATGCCATGCTTGTACATTTCTTAGGCTGCTGTAAATAATTACTGCATACACTATAGAATACAATAGGTCTACATGTACATGCACTTTTACATTTTTATCAGCCATTGATTCTTGTGACATTTTGTACTTTGCTCATGTAAATCTTTTTCGCCTCTCATCTGTGTATTGCATACACAGCTTCAATTCTGGCAGGGGAGTAATGTAGCGGCTCTTACATTCGCCCTACTTTTACCGCACACTCATATTTCTACAGTACTGAGCGACGACGTCAACATCCAAGCCCTATACGGAGGTTGTCGGATGTGATCCAAATTCAGGTGGAAAATGCAATAGATCTAGATCTAGGCCTAGGCCTATATGATTATGATTAAAATTAGTAAAAAATTGGGCTAAAATTCCTTTGCTAAGAATGGATATTAAACTGCTAAAAAAATGGATACGGAACTACACTAGACCTACTGCCGATCTAGGTTACTCTCTTTGGCTTTGCATGTTTTGAGATAGGCCTAATGTCGCCCAATTCCAATCCGCCGTTTAAATCGCTTTCCTGTTCACCCTCGACCCTCTGAAGCTCCGACGCCTTCGGCCCTGCATGCGTCGGCGTCGGAGCTTCCTGGAGTTCGGCTAGAGGAAACCAAGATTAGGCAAGAAGAAGAAGATGTGGCGGAGCTGAGCTGAGTGAAACGAGATGAGGAATTAAAATAAATGAAAAATTCTTACCATCTCCTTGATCAGGTGGGTGATGGGGTTGCTCTAATTCTCCTGTTACTTCATCTAGGTCCCCGGTGTCCATCATTCAACGTATGTTGAGACTCGGCAACTCGGCATTTAGAGAGAAAAAAATGATAACATTCGTCACTAGCCTGCTAGCGCTAGCCTATCTCTTCGATTTTACAAACGAAATGTTGTTGTTGAAATGTTGTTGTTGTTCGTTTGGTATTATAATGGCTATTAGTCAAATTTGACTATTGTTGCCAATTTCATCGCATCTCTTTCTTTTAATGTCTTGGTAAAATTATTATTTCTTTCTTTCTTTTTCCAATCTCATTTTAATATAATATTAGTCATAGTCTACAAAAAAATAAAAACAAAAAATTATTTCAAATTAAACCACGATCCGCACACAGTTCCAACTCACGCTGGCCCTGTCCTTTCTATGATGCCTTCTTACCAGCCCAGCGAGTTATGTTACGCCGTACGCTTCTCGGTTGATAAACTCAACCTAGGTCACTCTGGCATAGACAAGGGGGCGTCGTGTACCTGTATGTTTAGAGGGTTTATTTATTTATTAGGAGAAAGACAACTGCATAAGCAAAACACTTGTGGGCTTTATTAGTTTATATGAGTTAGTTCATGAGATTATTTATATAGCGCATGACTTTTAACTACTATAATCATTGGGGGGTGACATGCTTTCGAGTAATGATATAGCAAGTTTTAATTGCTTTTTTTTTTTTCCCCAGCAGATTTCATGTATCCTTCTCTCTCTCTCTCTCCTCTCCACTTCCCTAAAGTTGTGTGTATGTATTAAGATATGTTTTTCGATTGGTCAAATAAATAATGTTAAATTGTTTCAATCATTATTTTTTTTTTTAAATTAAAAGAGGCCTAAATAAGATATATAGGTCTATACGATCAAAACTTCAAATAAGACACTAATACAGGTGTAGGCATAAGGTTATACACAAAAAACCTATTTTCTCTTCTATTCAGCTCAAATTGATTGCGGTTTCTGTTTTTCATCTCTTTTTGATTTTACTTTTTACATAATCGCTTCGTTCTAAAAACGAAGCGAGAAATTGCCATTTGTACATGAGAGTCACTGTTTCGTAAACATATCATAATGTCCTCTTCCTTGGAAATATTAACTTCTGACATTAACATGGCCCTTTCTATTATATACTTTGGACATTCTATCAAAAAATGTCTGACCGTTTCTAATGTTGGGCAGCTGTCACAGAAACCTGTGGAGTGGATGCCCAAACGCAAGAGGTCTTGGTTGAGTCCAGACACTCCCAGGCGTAGTCGCCTAAGAATAGTTTCAGTTTTTCTTCCCAATTTACAAGAATATTGTGAGATAACATTTGGCTGAAGGATTTTTAATGCCGATTGGGTATCATTCCACCTTTCTTGCCAAAGTAACTTTGAACTGTACAAAATTAAACTTGTCTTTTCAAATAAAGTCAATTTATTATGCATTTCAATTTCCTGAGTTAGAGCTTTTTTTGCGTAGAAGTCTGCCTTTTCATTTCCCACTATCCCACAGTGGCCTGGAATCCATTCCAAAGCGATTTCGATCCCTCTATATTTCAATCGGGTCGTTATTATGAATATTTCTGTGACAAAGGATTCGTCACTAAAATGTTTCAAGGCTGTGAGGGCACTTAAGCAGTCGCTAAAAATGACTGCACCTGTATAGATGTTTGTTTCTTCGATCCATTGAAGGGCAAGAACAATTGCAGCCAACTCGGCTCTATACGATGAGGTAAAATTCGCTAATCTTTTACATTGGTGTACAGAAAAGTGTGGGATATAGAAAGCAGCCGAGCATTGGCCCTTCTCCGGAAACTTAGATCCATCTGTATATATATGCAACTGGTTCGACCATTTTGTATTAATCAATTTTAAGCTTTGTTGCTGTAGTTCATTCGGATGGTCGGCTTTTGAAATCCGAGAGCTCAACTCGGTCGAAACCAGTGGGGGTTCAAAAAGCCATGGCGGAAATGGGGATGGTACGGCAGTTTCTGTCATGAAGTTTTTTATTTTACTCTGGGTTCTATACCCGAAAGGTTTACTAAGAAAGTCTTTTCCCTTTAGATAATCAAATTGCCAACATGGCCCTATGTTTTGTGATAATGGGTGGTTTGGGGATCTTTCGATACTTTGTCTATATTTACTTGACACAATTTGTCTCCTTAGATCCAAGGGAAATTCCCCCATTTCCACTTGTAAGGATTGTAGGGAAGTGAGAGGTAGTCCTCCCGCACAAATCCGTAGCGCCTGGTATTGCACCGAATCAAGTGCCTTTTTTGTGGTGGTAGTAGCGCTATCGTAGGCCTCACATCCATAGTCGAGTAAAGATCTTATGAATGCCCTGTAAACCTTTACGAGGGATTTAGAAGAGCTCCCCCATTTAGTTCCCGTTAAACATCTTAGGATATTCAATTTTCTTTTACATCTCTTTACAACATTTTCCACGTGTGGCTTCCAGGTCAATTTCTTATCAAAAGTTACCCCCAAAAAATGATGAGTATTCTGAAAGGGCACTTTTTTCCCGTCTAATTCTACTTGCGGTGGTGAGAGATTCATTGTACTTTTTGTAAAAAATATAGGGACTGTCTTATCAGCCGAAAGCCGAAATCCCCATCTGCGAAACCAAGTCTGGAGTCTATTCAGGTATTCCTGAAGTTTGCTTGATATTTGAAGGATATCCCTACCTGATGCCCATATGACAAAATCATCAGCATATACAGCTAAGGGCACTGAAGGATCTGTAGGGATATCACTAATCATTAAATTAAATAGCAGTGGACTCAAAATACTTCCTTGTGGGAGTCCATTATGCATATCATATGTTTTTGATTCAGTATTATTAATTCTTACCTGAAAGGTACGTCCTGTCAAATAATTTTGTAGATATTGTAACAAATTTCCTTCTATTCCTTTTTGGGCGAGTTTGAATAGTAGTCCGTTTATCCATAATTTATCATAAGCTTTCTCAATATCTAGGAACACAGCTATTATGTGTTCATTACAATTGATACTTTTCTGAATATCGTTTTCTAGGAGAACTATGTTGTCTATGGCACTCCGCCCTTTTCTAAACCCGCTAATAAAATTAGGTAGTAACTCATGTTTTTCTACATACCATTGTAACCTTTCTTTGATCAAACGCTCGATTATTTTGGCGAAGCATGATGTGAGTGAAATGGGTCTATATGAAGACGCTTTCCGGGGATCTTTTCCAGGTTTCAAAATTGGTATCAAAATAGAGTGCTTCAGTGGGAGGGGTATTTCCCCTGTTCCCCAAATCCTGTTTATTATATCTAACATAACCTTTTTAGTTTCTTTAGGAAAGTTTTCATACACCTCATAAGGAATGTTATCTTGACCAGGGGCAGTCCGCTTTTTTGACTGTACTGCCTTTTCTAATTCAATGAGTAAAAAGGGTTCATTGATAACACTCTCCTGAATATTCATGCTATTCTTTACTAAAGCTAAATACTGTTCATTTACCCTATCTTCTCTCATTCCTAAAGATTGAAAGTAGCGTCCAAAAACATCCACCTTTTCATCCTCCCGAGTTATTTCTTTGTCATTTTCTGTCAATGATGACATATTTTTTGACCTCGCACCTGGAACACCATTTAGTCGTTTTATGCAGGTCCAGATTTTTGACTCAGGCATGTAACGGTCCAGTTTCGTGCAAAACGCTTGCCAATATTTTTGTTCTGCTTGGCGGAGAACTCGTTGTGCCATTTTTTTCTTGTTACTATAATCATCTATATTCTCCAGCGTTATCATTCTACCTTTAGAGAGCTTGTTACTCGCTTTATTTCTTTCTTTAATTTTAGCAGAACATTCTTTTGTCCACCATGGGACCGGGTTTTGTTTCTTTTTACTCTTTTGGGGAACAGCTTCCTTTATAACTTCTTTTAGGTACTCCATAAATTGGGTGTACATTTCCTTTACATTTGTGTTTTTTAATGTAATCTGTCCATTTAATACTTCTTCACATTTCTTTGCAAAGTTAGACCAGCTTATATTCTTAAAAGAAAAAGGCTTTTCTACCACATTTCCATTAGGCATACCTGCATTTGCTCTATGCGGATCTGTACTTTTTTCGAGAGACACTTGGAGAGAGATTGGGAAGTGGTCACTACCAAAAGTACTCCGCATGACTCCCCATGTAGACTTACACGCCAGAGAAGGAGATGTGATACTTAGATCCAGACACTGGCGTACCTATGGGGGGGGCAGGGGGGGCAGAGTGCCCCCCCTGACGGGCTCCAGGCGAAAAAAAAAAGGGGAAAGAAAAGAAAAGAAAGGAAAAGAAAGAAAAAGAAAAAAAGAAAAGGGAAGAAAAAAAGGAAAAAAAGAGAAAAAAGGAAAAAAAGAAAAAGGAAAAAAAAAGGAAGAAGAAGAGAAAAGGAAGAAAAAGGGAAAAGAAAAGGAAAGGAAAAAAATGGGGAAATTAAAAAAAAAGACCATGGCCGTACGCACCAGAGGGGGGGGGGGGCAGTTGACCCCAGATATTTTGAAAACGTACAGTTTTTTTCCTGAAAATGTAGTGTAGGCCTATACCAAATCCTTCAATTCTACTTTTGAAAATGCAAAAGTACCCTCATGACCAGTTCGGTCGCTCGAACTCCCTTCACTCCTTTTGCTTTTGAGATTCTTCGAAAACTTTTAACGCATCTTTCCCCCTCCCCCACTAGAAAAATATTCCGCATACGGCCCTGAAAAATTAAGACAAATGAAAATAGGAAAATATAAGTGATATAACAAATTCGAAACTCTTCGCTGGCGCGAACTGCTTGCTAGCCTATTTTGTATTAAATGTTTTCACTTGCTCGTCCCCCTGAAAAAAGAAAAGGATTAGCATTGCCTAGAATACAATTGTGCCTGCCCCGACTGGCCACGACCTGCAACCATGGCAACAATAACACACAGTGTATGTACCAAATGTTACTAAAGAAAGTAATTCATTTTTCTCGCTCGCTACACTTGCTCGCGAATAAAATGAATGGATATTGCTTTGGAAATAATTGTGCCCACCCTTGACCTGCAACAATATCATTAAAAATGGAAGAGTTTTTTCGCCCTCTCGCCAAAAAGGAATTGAATCGCGTAAAACGCGATTGCGTCCATCCTGACCTGCACCAATAAAAACAAGTTTATTTATTAATTACTATTAAAAGAGAATTTTTTTTTTGCTTG